ACCGACTTTCTAACCGTACGTGTGTGTGTGTGTGTGTGTGTGTGTGTGTGTGTGTTTTAAAAACATGGAATTAAATTGTGGTAAACTATAGATTTCCTTTAAAAAACAAATTTAGAGTTAAAAAAGTTAGAAAAGTTAAAACAGAAAGGACCGTATGTTTAAGGTTAGAGTGTAGTATATAGTGCATCATTCTAACACTTCTTGTTTCTCAACTTACCTTTATTGCCAGACATTTGGTAATGTGTATTAACTGATGCAAAGAGCTTAAGAGCTTGGTTATAATATGACATTGGGGTGTGCGTTTATGGTCCATTACTTCATCTCTTATCAGACACACCCACCAGAAAAGTTTAAAGAGACAGAGGGTAATTTTGTAACATCCTGTATCTTAATTTAGCTGGGCTCTGGCTTGCAAGAGCAACTTGTCTCAGGAAGTAGTCATATACAAATATACTGATACAATCCTGACTCGTAACAATTGTTACCATAATTTTATGATATTAATATGGCTATTCTCCCTTCTCACCACAATATTAAATGTGTGTAATGAGTCCCTGGCCATGTAGTCAACTGTAGGTAATCTCCAACACCATTTTCCTATATCTGTTATCTACCTCCAGTCCGGATGCACTTTGGTTGGTGGAAAATGGGACAGCAGCCAAGGCATCGTTGCAGGGTAATAGTGCTTTACACATGGAACTACCTCAGAGGAAACTGACTAAAGATTACACAATTATAGTCAAATGCTCTCTGCAACATGCTTCATTTATAAAGAATTTATTGCCATATGAAATGGACTATAATTACACTTTTTCCCCTTTATCAAATTCAGAAGGCTTTGCATGTGGAAAATTTTGAGAGAAACTAACAAACAAGTAACAAACAGTAAGTTTCTTTCACTGTGTGAAGTGCTATTTTACCAAGAAGAAACCAAACTCAGAACAAAAGAGAAAGAAAGGGAAAAAAGATGAGACGCTGGGAAGGGAAAGGAAAGACTAATTCAGAGAAAGTAGGAGAAAACCAAAGAGAAGCCATACAGTGGGATGGAGTGCAAGTGTGAAGAGGAAAAGAGAGAGTAGGCAGAAAGAGTTGTAGTATTCCTAACCTCAGTACTCTCATAATCTTTTTTTAAACAAAATTATGTAAACATTAAAAATTACCTACCGTTGTATTTTGTAGCCTGCTAGCTTTCAGAATAATTATTTCACTACT